CCCATACCCAGTGTGTGTGGGTGGGAGGGCAATGTCTTGGGGTTGTCCAGCCCAGCAGGTCACTGGTAAAAAATCAAAATGATTCCAACATGGGCTGGGGTTGTGGCTCAGCGGGAGAGTGCTTACCTAGCATGTGCAAGGCCCTGAGTTCAATCCTTAGCACCACATAAAAATAAATAAATAAAATAAAGGTATTGTGTCCAACTACAACTAAAAAATAAATATTTTTTAAAAAAATGATTCCAACAACTGGAAGCTTAGTTTCCCCTCCCTCCCAGGGATGAAATTCAGCTTGACAGGCGAGGACATGTAGGTTCCGCCTCCCCCAAAGGGGCAGGATTGTAAGGCTGCCTGTCCCTGAAGGTCAGGTTCTAGCATGCCTCCCAGGGGCCCACCCACAGGGAGCCTGTCCTGCCCACACACAGCCCTCCTGCCCAAGTTCCAAGACCTGGCATTGTGGCTTATACTGTGCCAGCTGTAAATTACAGTCATTATCTTTGCTACCAGGGAGTCAGCCTTTTACAAAAGCCTCTTGCCTCCCTAATAGCAGCTGCCTGGTGAACAAAGAGATGTATTTATTTATGGGGAAAAATGGAGAAAGAGCCTGCCATGCTTGAAGTCAAAATCTCAAAGTACAATGGAAAAAAATGGAGACTGACTGGAAAAGTAAGAAGCAGTAGACAGATGTGACAAAGCACTGCTTGCTTTGTTACCGCAGGCAGCCTGGAAAGGCCCTTCCTGACAGGAGGAGGAGGAGAGGGAAGTAGTGGGAAGATGGGGGAACAGTCCTCTGGAGGGGAGGGCACTTGGTGACAGCACATAGTGGGGTGCTGGCTTGCCTGTCTGTTGGGACTCCTGTCTCTGCCAGTATCTACATACTATAGCTGCAGAGGCTTTGGGGAAGTCCAGAAGCCTTTTTTTWAAATATATTTTTTGATTCCAGAAACTTTTTTTTTTTTTCAATGCTGGGGATCAAACCCATTGAGCTGCATCCCAGTTTTAAAATTAATGAAGTAGGGGCTGGGGATGTGGCTCAAGCGGTAGCGCGCTCGCCTGGCATGCATGCCCCCCGGGTTCCATCCTCAGCACCACATACAAACAAAGATGATGTGTCCGCCGAGAACTAAAATAAATAAATAAATAAATAAATAAATTCTAAAAAAAATAAAATAAAATTAATGAAGTAGTTTGTGGAACTCAACTTAATTTCACAGTTCCCACAACCAGTTTGATATCTGCTTTCACACATTTTCTTTTCTGGTCTTCATCTGTAAATGTGTCAAAGCAAAATCCTCTTTTCCATTTGTTCTTATATCCACAGGAAGTTCAATGTTTTCAGTCTCTCCAAAGGCTCCAAAATATTCTTTTTGTTCTTCAGAAGTGTCTGGATCCACAAAAGCCTGCTAGGGCGTTTGTTTCCTTTTAAAGCTTTGTCCTTTTGAGGACTATCAATTTGCTCTCCAGATTTTAATTCCAAGACCTTATCAACATTAGCATTTGAAAAGGACAAATCCAAATCCTCTTGATTGTCCAGTGACTGCATCTGTTTTAATCTTGCACTACAACTTCCCCATATAGAGAGACATAGTCAGATCCTTCTTGCTTGTGTCCCAGCTGGAGCCTCTAATATTTTACTGTTCAATCCTCTTATGCGGGCTAGTGTTATTATTCTGGCCCCCTCTGTGAATTCCTTTCTGTGGGTAAACTCTTTTTCAGCTTCTCCAAGGTGTCGTTGCTGTGGGCACGGGGATCCTTCGGCAGGGGGCGCTGTGTGCACGGGGAGCTGTCAGTAGGGTGAGCTGTCGGTAGGGTCCGCTGTTGGGGTGCGGGTGGGGCTGTGTCCTGCAGCGCATTGTTAGTCCCAGCAATAGAATATGGTGCGTAGCTGGGTTGAAAATATAATTGTTTTGTTTGTTACTGAGGAATGAACCCAGGGGTGGTCTGCCACTGAGCCATACCCCCAGCCCTTTTTATTTTGAGGTAAGGTCTTGCCATATCATCCAGGTTGGCCTTGAACTTGATATTCTCTTACTTCATCCTTAGGAGGCACTGGGGTTACAGGTGCATACCATGCCCAGCTAAATTTTCCCATTTAAAAAATTTACTTTATAGACGGGCACAGTGGCACATGCCTGTATTCCCAGCGACTGGGGAGGCTGAGGCAGGAGGATCTCAAGTTCAAGACTCAGCAACCTAGAGGAGGCCCTAAACAACTTAGTGATACCCTGTCTCAAATACAAATAGGGCTGGGATGTGGTTCAGTGTTTAAGCCCCTCTGGGTTTAATCCCCAGTACCCACTCCTCAACTTTTTTTTTTAACTTTATTGAGGTCTGATTATATATAATAAAATGAATACACTCATTTTTAGTGTATGGTTCACTGACTTTTGAAAAAAGTTTTGATTTATTCAGTTATCTTCACAGAAAATTCCTAATGTTGTACAAGTGGAATCACACAATGTGTGTCTGTGTTGTGCAGTACATCCCTGTTGTATGCCCCAGTGGGTCACTCTTGTTGCTGAGTAGAGTTTAGTTGTTCATGGAGGAAGGGCTCGGAGTGCTCTGTTGGAGGTGGAAGTCACATTGTTGGAGACCAGTGGCATGCATTTGTGTCAAGATGCAGAAGGTTGTCATCACCCACACTCCTTGTTGCCCCTCCTCTCCTGCCACCAGCACCTGTCTGTTCCAAAACAACATCAACAGGATAGTAGAGTGGCTTCTTCGGTTAGTATGCTGTGTTTGCGATTCATCCTGTGGCATGTTGAGTGGTGGCTCCTGTGTGGACCCACTGTACTGGCTTTTCTCTTCACTAGGGGAAGGGTGTTTATGCTGTTTCCAGATTCTGGTCGTTATAAACACAGCCTCTTCCAACAGTTGCATGAAGGTTTTGTATGAACATGTGTGTATCCATTCCTTGGGTGAACACCTGGAAGTGGAGTATGGGGTTGCATGTTATGTATGTCTGTCTTTGTGCTGGCCTTGTTTCAAAAGGGGTTGTCATTTTGCGTACCGAATAGCATGGGATGGGAGCTGAATTGTTTCTAGTCCTTGATGATACTGGTATCACAGTTGTTTTGTTTTAACTATTCTGATAGATACAGGGTATGGCATTTTGGTTTTGGTCTGTATTTCCTTAATGAGTAATGATATTGAGCTTATTTCTTTTTTTGAGAGAGAGAGAATTTTTAATATTTATTTTTTAGTTTTCGGCGGACACAACATCTTTGTATGTGGTGCTGAGGATCGAACCCGGGCCGCATGCATGCCAGGCGAGCGCGCTGCGGCTTGAGCCACATCCCCAGCCCTGAGCTTATTTGTATGTGTTTGTCACCTCCATATCTTCTTTGGTGAAATAATTGTTCAAAAAAACTTTTTTTTTTTCAGTACTAGGGATTGGATCCAGGAGTGTTCTACCTCTGAGCTATAGCATAGCCCCCACCATTTTTATTTTGAGAGAGGGTCTCACTCAGTTGCCCAGGCTGGCCTCAAATTTGTGATGCCCCTGCCTCACCTCCTGAGTAGCTGGAATTATAGGTGTGTACCACCAAGCCCACCTTTACTCAAATATTTTGCCCACTTTAAAGTTGGGTTCTTTTTTTCATTTTTTTTTAATATTCTTTTTTTGTAGTTGGACACAATGCCTTTATTTTATTTACTTATTTTTATGTGGTGCTGAGGATAAAACCCAGTGCCTCTCATGTGCTAGGCGAGTGCTCTGTCACAACCCCAGCCTGGATTCTTTTTTTCTTACTGAGTTTTGAGAGATATTTAGGTATTCTGGGGACAATCCCTATTTCAGATGTGCATATGTTTTCATCCAGTTTATGGCTTATCTTCTCATTTTCTACACAGTGTTTTTAGAAATGCAAAATATCTTTTTAAAAAAATTTGTAGTTGTAGATGGACACAATAACATTATTTATGTATCTATATGTGGTACTGAGGCCTGAACCCAATGCCTCACACATGCTATGCGAGCACTCTACCACTGAGCCACAACCCCAACCCCAGAAAAACAAAATGTCTTAATATAATGAAGTCCAATTTTTGTTTTATGGATTGTGTTTTTGGTATATCTAAGAAGTCTTTGCCTAATCTAAGATTGCAAAATTTTTTTCCTATGATTTCTTTTAGAAGCTCTTATAATTTTAGATTTTACATCTAAGTCTATGAGTTAACTTTTTTCTTTCTTTTTTTTATATATTTTTTTAATATTTACTTAGTTGTAGATGAACACACAGTGGTGCTGAGGATTGAACTTAGTGCCTCATACATGCGAAACAAGCACTTTCCCACTGAGCTACAGTCTCAGTCCTCTTTCTTTTTTTGTGGTACTGGAGACTGAACTTGGGAGTATTCTGCCTCTGAGCTACATCCCCAGTCATTTTTAAATTATATTTTGAGACAGGGTCTCATTAAGTTGCTGAGGCTGACCTTGAACTTGCAGTCCTACTGCTTTAGTAGCCCAAATTGCTGAGATTATAGGTGTGCACCACCATGCCTGGGACTTGAGTTAATTTTTGTATATGGGGCAAGGTACAGGTTGTATAAGATTCTTCTCTTCCCATTCCTCCACTTCTCCCTCTTCCTTTTTTGCACCGGAAGCAGAATTATTCCAGCACCATATGCTGAACATGGTGTAATGATGTTATTATTCATTTTAGTTATTTAAATTCCATCAGGTTGATCACGCACGTCCATAGTCTAAACTATTCCAGAGGCTGAGGCAGGAAGATCTCAATTTCAAGGCCAGCCTAGACAAGTTAGAAAGACCTTGTCTCAAAATAAAAAATAAAAAGGACTGGGGATGTAGCTCAGTGGTAAAGCACCCCTGGGTTCAATTCTTAGTATGTAAATAAATAAATAAATTTGGAAATTCTCTGGGCATACTGTGGTTTTAAAACAAGAAAACCAGGGAGGGAGTTTAGTAAATATGGGTTGCTGATTTCATCATGTCTTGGGTTTGTCTGATTGTGTGTAATGCCATGCATTCTTTCAAGGTGTCAAGATTCTGCCCTCCAAGAAAATCTTGCCATGACTGGATAGGACCCCCAGATAAATATTCAAACCTTCGACCTGTTCACTTTTACGTCCCTGAAAACGAATCACCGTTGGAACAAAAGCTTAGAGAATTAAGACAAGAAACGCAGGAATGGAATCAGCAATTCTGGGCAAACCAGAATTTGACTTTTAGTAAGGTAAGTACAGGTTTCAAATGAGAATAGAGATGATACAGGAGGCCACTGGAGGGTGCTGATTCTTTCATGTCTGTTTAGTGTGTCTTAGTCCTGCCCCCTCCCATTTACTGTGTGTGTGTGTGTGTGTGTGTGTGTGTGTGTGTGTAGACCTTTTTATTTTAAATTTTACTTTTTACAATGCCGGGGGTCAAATCCAGGCCTCATACACACTAGGTGATACTCCACCCTGGGTAGACCTTTTAACTTGTAGCTGTACATGAGAAGCACTGGCCATTCATAGATCACAGATCTCAAGATTGAGGAAGGAAAGTTAGCAGTAAAGCCAGAACCAGAAGTACCTGTCTTACCTGTGTGTTCATGTTTATAAAAATTTAGTGTCTGTGACATATTATCATTATTCCTGATATTTCTTTTTTTTCTTTTTGCAGTACTAGGGATTGAATCCAGGGGTGCTCTACCTCTGAGCCATATCTCTAGCCCTTTTTATTTTATTTTATTTTCTGAGACAGGGTCTCCCTAAGTTGCTGAGACTGGACTTGAACTTATCATCTTCCTGCCTCAGCTTCTGAAGTAACTGGGATTATAAGTGTGGGCCACCACACCCAATGAGATTTCAAAATTCTTAACTGCTTACTCAGAAGTAAACTATATGAGAAAAAAGTATAAATATTCTAATTGAGAAGGAAAACATCTGTACTTCGTTTATCCATTTGGATGGACGAAGTCAAATGGAATCTATTCATCATGTTCTTTGGATTTATAAACAAGCTGCTTCCCAGAGTTTATTGAACATCTAGTTTTAAAATCCTGTTTCAAGCATGAAACTTTCAACCAAATTCAGGTGGTTTAAAACAGGCTTGAGGTGAGCCATTCCTCAGCAAACCCACGTCAGACTGCTTCAGAATGTGCTGTGGCCTGAGAGAAGTGGAGACGGAGGGGATTCTGACGGTGTCTTCTTTTAGGAAAAGGAGGAGTTCATTCATTCAAGACTGAAGGCCAAAGGCTTGGGCCTGTGCCCTGGATCAGGTCAGTACATCCGTGCTTCTGGCTGATGTGGTGATGGTATGAGCTGATRGAAAGCTGGGTGTGGAGGGCAGCAGGAGAATCCATGGTAGGCCTCCTACCCACCTCTGCAGCCTCAGGGTCATCTCCTCCCTTCTGTTGCCCCCAAGGGCTTCTTTCCCTTTGTTGCCTCTTACCACTGGGAGTTCCCTTCCAGACCATTGCTCCCTCTTCTCTCTTGGAGTACTGTGGCGCCCTCTCAGGGGACTTCCAGCCTGAGTTCCCAGGGCCTCTGCAACCCCCTCCCAACTCCAGCTCTTCCTCCTGGATTCTTGAGTCAGTTCATAAGTGGGAAAGCGAAAGGAAGAGAAGCTGTTCCTTGCCCTTCCTCTGGTTTCCAGGTTCACCTTTGGAGCATTTCTCAACATTTTTGCTGCTTTCTGCCCTTGAAACATTGCTGAAGTTCAGGTCCTTGTTAATTCTTTGCCTGTTGGAGTAATTTCCTAGTTTTTTTGCCCAACATCCAAGCTTTAAATCAGAGGCAAGGACACTTTTTCTGTAAAGACTAGACAGTGAATAGTTTACCTTTTGTGGGCTCTATGGGATATCCGCCGGAAATATTCCATGCTGCTGTTGAATGAAGTACTGTGTCCCAGTAAAACTTTATTCACACACACATACACACACACACACACACACACACACACACACACACATATACACACAGCGTATGGGAGTGGATAGGACTAAGACACCCAGAATTTAGCCTGTAAGTGTTTCCCTTTAAGTCCATTTTATGCACCACAAGCAGACTTTCCACCCAATACAGGTATGACAGTTGCCCCCCAGCTTACGTTCCTGGTCTCTCTTCACCACAGCATGACAGCCCCATTTCTCTGAAGGAACCTGCCTAGCATGGCACCCTGTCCCTGCCTCTCTCACCTGTTTCCTGGCCTGTTGCCCCTAACCAGGCATTTTTTTGTGCCAGATTACCTCAGTTCCCTTTATCTACCAATACTGCCATTTTCTTTTTGGCCAAAAAGTCTAGTGCTCAAAATAAGCTTTGACATTTTCTCTAGGTTTTGATATCAGGCCTTAATAACATTTCATGCTGTTTTTTAAGTAGATGTCTACCGTCAAGACATTATGCTCTTGTCAGGCCCAGTGGCAAATACCTGTAATCCCAGAGGCTTGGGAGGCTGAAGCATAAGGATTGTGAATTCAAAGTCAGCCTTAGCAACTTAGCGAGGACTTAAACAATTTAGCGAGACCCTGTCACTAAAATATATATAGAAAAGGGCTGGGAGCCAGGTACGGTGGCCACACCTGCAATCTCAGAGGCTCGGGAGGCTGAGGCAGGAGGATCATGAGTTCAAAGTGAGACACTAAGCAACTCATTGAGAACCTGTCTCTAAATAAAATACAAAATAGGGCTGGGATGTGGCTCAGTGGTTGAGTGCCCCTGAGTTCAATCCCCAGTACCAAGGTGGGGAAAAGAGAGGGGGGGGGGAGGAAGGGGGGGGGGGAGGGAGGGAGGAAGGAAGGAAGGAAGGAAGGCATTATTCTCATGGAAAATCCAGAACCATTGACCCAAAAGCCAAGTCTGTCCTTGGGCTGAAGTACCATTGCCTTCTTGTTTATTCCTAGTCTGGCCAGGATTCATGCAGAAGAATGTGCTGGGGGAGGTGGGGGCAACCTTTCTGTCTCTCTCTTTTGGGCCGTGCTGGGGATTGAACCCAGGCCTCCTCCGTGCCTGCTGGGCAGGTTCTCCATCACTGAACTGCACCCCAGCCCAGCATGAGAAACCTGGCTTCCGCCTCACCTATCTTAGGTATACTGACAGGCCAGATCTGGGAGGGCAGCAGCAGGAAAGTGTACTGTGCCCTGTCAATAACACAAGAATGGCAGCTCAGACTTAATGGGGGTCCTGGCTCTGCAGGCACTGTGCTAAGTCCTTGCATGTATCATCCACAAAGACCAAATGAAGGAGGTGCTGATGATTTTACCATTTTACAGTTGAGGAGCCTGAAGCTTACTGATGGCAGAATCCCCACCCCAGATCCCACAGTGAGAAGGTAGAACCTAGATTCTGCCTGAAGGAGTCAGGTCTCCAGGGCCTGCTGGGTTTCAGCAGCCCTCAATTCATCTTCTTCTTTGTGTATTTGGTGTGTGTGTGTGGTGAGGAGGGGGGTCTGTATCAGGTGGTAGCAGGCTGGCTCCTGCTGCAGAAGTGGGTTGGGAACTAGCTACTCTCCTAGCAGATGGGAGAGGTTGTTTTCAGTCTTATTAATAGCACAGCATCCTATTGATGTTCTGCTAAATGTTGAAAGGCTGGCCTTAAGTGAGATTTTAAAATTAATTTGGTAACAAAACAACAGCATGTATTAGGGAAAGGGAGCATGAACCAAGGCATCCATTTTGGCAGCTGTTCAGTCGTGGGGAGGGAAGCTGCTTGTCAGAGGACAGGAAGTCCCAGCGAGAGGGTGGGTTGAGTACATTCAGCAACCCATTGSACATCATGGTGATTGCAATTAGTAGTGTGCTGTTCCTAAAGGGTGTTGAGAGTAGATGTAGTGTTATTACCACAAAAACAACAGCTCTTTAGGGTGGTGTGTGTCAGCTAGTCATTCTGAAATGTATAATTAAAAGCGTAATGTTGATGAACTGAGGGTGCAGCTGGGTTGAAGAGCACCAAAAAAAAAAAAAAAAAAAAAACCAGAAGAGAGGGGGCCTGCTCGGCTCACGTTCTGCAGGTTCTAGCTCCAGGTTGGGTGGACCTGTTGCTTCAGGCCTCTGCTTGTATGGTAGTGGCTGGAGCATGTGGCAGAACACACTGCTCATTTCATGCCCAGGAAACAGGAGTGAGAGAAAGTGGCCCTCAGTCCCCTCTGAGAGCATGCCCCTGTGATCCAATGACCTCCCATGGGCCCCACTTCCTAAAGGTTTCTCTGCCTCCTCTTGTGCCACTCTGAGGACCATGTCTTCAACACATGGCCTTTGGGGACATTCTAGAGCCAAACTGTAGCAACATGGGAAGTGAAAACATCCTGTGTCCTTAGGACTCCTGTGATGTCTCCCGTGATGTTGCAGGAGGCTCAGCACCCAGGAGCTGGTGGAGCAGAGCCTCTACCGTGGCCTGTCTTTATTGGAATCAGCAATGCTTGGATTCCTTCCTTTTTCCTTTTCATTTTTAAATTTTTGTCTCCTACTCTTTTACCCTTCTGTAAACTGGCTTCCCATGCCTCCCCCCACCCCGGTTTGTCCTCCCCACAGTCAGTGAAGCCAGCCTGAGGCTGGCCTTTCCCCAGGCAGACTTCCAGCTGCTGAGYCCTGTTAGCCAGGCAGAGGCAGGCTTGTGTTGAATGAACTGGGCTGCTGCCATGGAAATGCAGGATGGAGGCAGCCTGGGGGGCTGGGCAGACAAAGGGGTCAGTGTCCAGACATGTACAGTTAGCCATGAACAGTAGATGGGTGAGCACTGGTGGCAGAGATGACACGGCCCATTTGGACTTTTGAAAAAGCTGCACCAAGTTTTTGTTAGTAACAAAGTGATTGTGAGGAGAAAAAGCTGTCAGACTCCAAACTTTGTAGTGTATCTGAAACAACAAGGTATGGTTTTGTGTTTTCTGCATTCACAGGATGGTTTTCCTGCTGAGAGACTGTGCTGGTGGAGTGAGCTTGATGGTTGGTGCAGCATGAAGTTCACATGAGGGTCTAGCTGCACATGTCACACACATGCCAGAAAGTAGGAGAGTAAAGGCCAGAACTGTCTCGCCAACATCTGTCTCACTGTGGGGAATATACAAGTTTAGCGGGGTGTCCCTTGCAGAATTATCTTTAATTGCAAAGGGCAGAAAGTGTCTCTGAATCCAAAAATAKTGAGATAGATAGGGCTTGGGTGGCCCATTCACTCACTGCATGTTTACTGGATGACTAGCCATGGGGGAAACTCTAGGTCTTCTCCAGGTACAGAAAGCAAAATACGTTGACTTCCATTCTGTTGTCCCTAAATTAAATGTCACTGTAAGGTGGGCAGCACAGTGGGCGAGAGGGTTCCTTCTTGTTTCTTTTATCACTTATGTACTTGTTCTTCAGGAGCTGGGTTCCCTATTAGCTGGTGTCTGAAGCACCCGGTCGGCGCCCCGTCAATGGTGATGGGATGGATTGCTTCCCCTTCCCCACTCCCACTTATGTTCAGTAACAAGCTGCAATGCTGGCAGCTATGGAGATGAGCCATTTGCAAAGATTCCTGGTACCCCTGCTTTCTACAGAGCATCTGCCTAGGGGTGTTGGCACTGAGGTGCCCGCAGGCCTATCCTGAGAGCCCCTTGGGAGTCCTTGGGCATGGCAGTGCTGCTTAGTYTGCGTTCAGTGTCCCTCCTGCCTCGATGACCAGTGCCAGGTCTCAGAGCTGCCTGTGAGGGTGTGCTTTTATGATCACATGCTGGAGATGAGGGAACAGGCACAGGAAGTCATCGTTCAAGGCCACACAGCTAGTTGGGGACAGAAACTGGCTCTGTCWATTCAGTGGAACAGTTCCACTGCTGCTGCTGGGAGGAGCTGCTTTTCCCACCTCTTCAGTTCCTCACGTGGCCATGGAAGGCTAAGAGAGGCCTCAGAAGCTGACTTGGGGGCCACAATTAATTCTCTCTCTTACTCTCTCTCTTTTGGTAATGAGGATTGAATCCAGGGGCACTTAACCACTGAGCCACATTCCAGCTCTTTTTTATTTTCCATTTTGAGATAAGGTCTTGCTAAGTTGCTTAGGGTTTTGCTAAGTTGCTGAGGCTGGCCTCAAACTTGTGATCCTTGTGAGCTGCTGGGATTACAGGCATGTGCTACTACTGCACCCAACTATTGGGAGGCACACAGCTCTAAGGACCATGAAGGCCACCTCCCTCAAAGCTGCTGCTGCTGCTTGCCCTCATCCACCCTGTGCCTACCTCTGGACTCCGCTCTGGTATTCTTCAGCCTGCACCACTGTCCCTCATTCAGAGCGCCTCCTTGCACCTCCACCTGCCCTC